TTTTCCATCTTTTTCCATCTACTTTGTCTGCTAGTAGCTTTAGGTTCATCTGTCAGGCTACAATTTCACATGTTGCTAATCCAAATTATCATATATTTGTCCACCCTTGCTATGGAGAGTTGTTGTCAATGATCAGATAATACAGTTGTCCCTTTCTTTGCACATGCAATTAGGTCTCCATAGAGACAAAATGTGAAAGAATTTTACCTATCAGAATTCTAGAGACTATTGGATAAGCTATATGACTTTTGCTGTTTTAATGTGGAATTGAGGAACTTAACTATGTCTAATTTGGTTCCTTCCAGGCCACCCTTGGGTTCAGGTTGATGGTGTGGCTCCTGACAAGCCACTTGATTCTATAGTCTTAAGCCGCATGAAGCAATTTTCTGCAATGAACAAGCTCAAGAAAATGGCCCTTAGAGTAAGTTTCTGCAATTGAAGCGCAGGCCCATCACTGGCAAACATTTGTCTCTATAACTTGTGGAAAGATACTAATTAGTTAACTTCTTCGAAGGCACAAATCCACCAGCTAATATGACTTATCCTCGTTCCTCCTTTCATTTTTAGGTCATTGCACAGAGACTTTCGGAAGAAGAAATAGCCGGCTTGAAGGAAATTTTCAAGATGATAGACACAGACAATAGTGGTCAAATTACCTATGACGAACTCAAAGCTGGATTAAAAAAATTTGGTGCTAATCTTGCTGAGTCAGAGTTTCATGCTCTAATGCAGGCTGTAAGTTTCATTTTAGAATCCTCTTAAAAAGCTATACTAACAAATTAAAACAAATCCGATAGCATTATCGTTCTAATTTGAAATGATTTATGCTTCATCAAATTGTTAAATAAGTTTACCTTTCATTTAGTTTCTTTTTGTTTTCTGAAATTGCAGGCAGATGTTGATAACAGTGGTACAATTGATTATGAAGAGTTCATAGCTGCAACATTGCATCTAAACAAGATTGAGAGGGAAGATCATCTCTTTGCAGCCTTCTCGTATTTCGACAGAGATGGCAGTGGCTACATCACTCAAGATGAGCTTCAAAAAGCTTGTCAAGAGTTTGGCATTGAGGATATCCGCCTGGATGAAATGATCCAAGAAGTCGATCAGGACAATGTAAGTGCCTCCATTTTGTGCCTAGGATAGCCGCTGTTCCATTTTGCTCGTGCTACAAGGCTATGTTGTCGTGTCTTTTTTAGTTGAATTGGGATGTACCCTGCATATCTCAAACATAGTCACATTCCCCTTGAATGAATGAATGAATGAATGAATGCTGTTCATGTTTGACTGACATGGTGACATTTTATTTTCCAGGATGGACGAATAGATTACAATGAATTTGTGGCGATGATGCAGAAAGGCAATCCTGAATTTGGTAAGAAGGGTCCTCAGGGTAAAGGTTTTAGCATTGGATTTAGGGAGGCATTGCCCGTATGTTGACAAGACATAGTCCCTAATTAGGCATTGCTTTAATTAGTCCTTTTTTCCAAACTTTTCAGAGTTTAGCTTTTAGTTTAGCTCTTCAAAGTTTGAGGATCAATCAGGCATTCCTTTAGCACCAGACCAGATGGTTGAATGTCCTCTTTCGTTCCTGTTTCCTTGAATGATTGTACATATTTCCAACTTCACTGCACTTTGCTCTCTGGCCTCTGCTCTCATGTTTCTTGTATATTAACACTTGAAAGTCATGTTTGGTGCTTGCCATTTCATTCTCCTTAAATGAAGGCACCTTTTGGGACTTACATAAACGGTATCACTGTGTTTTTGCTTGGGAAAGAGATGGTTTAAATATGGAATCTCTTCTTTAAATAAGAAGCTTATAAAAACCAACTATAAAAAGTATTTCACTTCACATGTCAAATAGTATGGAATCATGTTTTGAATTTCAATTAAAAACCTTTAAGAGTTGAGAAAAAATAATGTCGAATTTAAGATTTTGAATGAAAAATGATTAAAAGGTAATTATAAAGATAATCATATTATATTAAGTTTTATACTTAAGTGACGACTGTCATCAACTGCCAATCCTTTAAATCCGTTTTTGAAAAAAACTTTTAAATTAAAAACGGTAAAAGATTTTGAACAAAGGTTTTTGAGTCCCACCCTTTGCATGCTTTCTCCTTACATATGATTTATTAGGATGATTTGTCTTGGAAAGAAATTAGAAAAAAAAAAAAAGGACAATGAAGCATAAACAACAGGGACAAAAGGAAAGGAAAGAACATACAAAGAGATAATCCAATTGTATCCCACATTTTGCTTGTACAAAAAGCTTATTTCCTTTCATTTTGTCCAGTGTCCTTGGCAAAGACAAATTAACTTGGTTGTTTACGCAAGGTTAGTGTAAAGTCACTTTCCATTTATGAACATAAAAAAGTAAGCAAGCAGCCCCTTCGTAGGTCATAAGCAGGGACGTATTAGCTACTAATCCAATGATTAAGGAATAATATTAGTAAGGTTATAATTTTGGTTGACTGATTCAAAGTTGTCATTTAATATTTTGATGCCCATTTATTTAGTGGATTGTGGGGATTCCTTCTTCAAATGAATCTATGCTAATAATGGTATATAACCCCGCATTATTAGGGATCATAAATGATTTGGTTAATTATAAGTAGCCTATCAACATCCATTCTTTCTCGGTGCTTTCCATCTTCCAATTGGTCTGTTTTTTTTTTTTTTTGAGTTCAATGAAGAAATTTACATTCACTCTCTAAATGGTGGAGAGAAAATAAGATATTACTGTTCACATTTTAGAATTTTTTTTCAAAAAGAAATGATAAAATTATCAAATATTTTTAACATTTTTATAATTTTTTTAAAAATATCTAAATTGTTTAAAAACTTTTTTATTCTTTTATTAAATTTATTACTAACAAATTATTATCAATGGACATAACATTTACATTTTTTATGTCCACATGTCATTAATGTACTGCTGACATAAAAATTAAGATTGCTACGTAAACATACATTAACATTTATTATGTTATATCAGTACATTATATAATATTATATTATATAAAAATAAAAATTATTAATTATTAATTATAAAAATTTATTTAATAAAAAATAAAAATATAAAAATTTAATTAATATTATGTTTTTTTTTCTGGATTCCAATGATTGAATTACAATTTCACAATTCCTTTTCTAACTACAAATAATTTTGCAAATGCTACCAAATGTCCAAGTCAAAATTGCATCGGATTCTCAAACGATGAGCAGAGCAAATTTGAAGTAATTTCCAATTCACGAATCGAGACAGACAAAACTTCACACGGAAACATGAAGCGCGTGGCGTACACCTGCTGAACCAACAAGGCAAGAAAAATGAGAACACTCTCATGTTCGAAGATGACATGTCGAGGCCAGCCTTTATGCCCGCGAATGCAACGCACCACCCGCAAAATCCTACACTTTAAAACTAAACTCCAAATCAAACGTAGGCTGTGATTGGGACCCACCATCTTTCATCCAACGGCTGATGTTGTCCTGACTTAAAACAAAGGAAGTAGCGGGACCCATCCGCAGGATGTTCGGTCTGTCCAAACAAACTAATGTTCTACTACGCACGTTCCGTGACAGCTGTGACGATGGGTACCAACCTGAGACCAATCATGTTGCTCGGTCTTGCCACGTCAGCATCTAGGATGAGCGTGGGCCATAACCGGCTGTGACCTGGGTGTCGGTGACCCACCAGTTACAGTTGGTGGGTTTTTTGTGTTTTTTTCAAGTCTTTGGGAACTTCCACGTTCTCACACAGTGCCCTGTGTTTTTCTGTTCAATCATTAGGTTGGTTGGGAAATGACGGTTAGGCCCCTTAATGCATTTTAAGCAATGAATTTTGTTCCGACTGCCTATAATGCCCTTGCTTAAGACAGTAATTAAGGACAAATTTAGGTGTTAGAGGGATATCAAGAGCCAATTAATTAAGATTGGGGATTCTACATTCTAGCTCCAGTTGGTGAGTTAGGTGAGCTGGATCAAATCTTGTTTAACCCATAATTAGTTGCATCATTTTCCAAATTTAAACATTGTTGAATTTCACCTCTTTTTGGCTTCTCCATTTCAATGTTTGCCATTAGGAGGAAAAAGGTTTAACCCTTTTTTGTGAAGTGAAACAGAATGTTAAATTCAAAGACTTTACTGTCGAATATTAAATAAAATATCTAATTTAATATTTTTGTATTGATTTTCTATCATTGTGCAAGTAATTTTGATGTGTGTATATATATATATATATATATTAATAAATTAAAAGATATCTAACTTAAACCAAGTTACAGAGACTGGTAAAATTCTTGTTGATAGCTTTATTTTGATATAATTATGAGACAGAAGAAGATGAAAAATGTTTGGGATGAAGATGAATTGAATGCAATGTGGAAAAGAGTGGGGATGTTTGAGCTTTTCTTCTTAAAATGTCCAAAACTGCCGTAGCACATGCCATTAAACATGTTGCTTGAACTCCCCACAAGTGCACAACCCTTTCTCCCTATAAAACTTGACTTGTCCTTTTCTAATTGAATGCAACCAATTCTGATTGAACCCTGAATTGAGAAGCTTCAATAATCATTTCCTCATTTATGGATCTCTTATCTCACAACTTACACTGGGTAATGGGGAAAGCACAAGACATAACATTATTTGCCACTAAGGGGTCAATCAATGCAAACAAATTGTAATGCCTTTGAAGAATAGATGAATATATATATATATATATATATCTTTGGTCTTCTTAATTTAATTTTAAATATTTATTTGTTAGATGAATAAGTTTTATTTATCCCAAAAAAGAAAAGCAGAAAGAAATTGGTATGTTGTGTAGCAAAACTTGATTGGAAACAATAATTGATCCAACATTTACCCTTAGATCTTGACAATACTTTGTTTTATGGAATATAATACTAGAAATGCCCTTTGATTTCATTGCATTTCCCTCCATTATGAATCATAATTCGCAAAAGGGTACTTGAAAGCTTCAACTTGGAGCAACAAACTACCCATTAGATCAGTGGCAATATAGTCATTTGCCTTCAATCATTCTATCCACTTCATTGACATGCTCGTCCTACTTTAACCCCCGTCTCTCTATCTCTCTCTCTGTGTTCGAAACACCCCGAAGTCACCTCCTTTGCAGGAAGCAGAGTGTCACTGAGCCTCTCAATCAGAAACCCTGTTTGGATCTTTAGAGCTTTAGTCTCAGATTTTGTCACATCTTTCTTAAGCTTTCAGGTTTCTTTTTTTTTTTCTTTTTATCAAATTCAGTGCTTTCTCATCCTTCTTTTCAAGCTTTGCATTTCCAGTCTCTTGAGACTCTCGTAAGCAAGGTAATTGCTTTACAAATTTGTAAGTTTTGCTTCTCTCCTTCTTTTCTGTTTTAGTTTATGGGATTTCTTTCTGGTTATGTTTATAAGTCCTTTGGTTTTTGACGTGAGGGTTTCTGTTTTTATGAGTTACCTGATGGGTTAAGTGTAGAATTTCGTTGGATCCTTGTTGTTCAATTGGTTTTTTTCCTTATGGAGTGATTCCCATTTCAGGTTTTGGTTTAAGTTTAGCCAGATTTTGTTTTAAGGAGAAAATGTGAGAAAGGAAAACATCTGCCATTTAGATTCACATCACTCATTAAAGCTAGATTTCCGTTGAATTCTTCAGTCCCGTAATCTAATCCAGCAATGTCATTGATTTTGGCTAAACCCCTTTGATCTTTCTGCCATTTTAAGTTGACTTTTGATGGTTGTACTCATAATTTTGCTGGAAATTGTTCTTCTTTTCTGAAGGATGGAGTCTGAAAACGAGGTAACCGTGGAAGAAGAGATAATTGTCAGCGAAAGAACAGATGTGGAAGAATCTGCTACAGAAGCAAAGAAAGAGGAACAGAATTCCGATACTAACGGTGAAGGGGTTCCAAATTTGCAGGAAGCTTCCAAGCAGGGAACAAAATCTGAAGGCATGGCAAGTAAAGCTGCTGCAAATGTCTCCAAAAGTAAAATCTCAAAACCCTTAAAGGTACCATGTACCATGCATTTAAGCTGTTCTATTGGTGTTGATCATTTACATAATTTCTTGCAACTCAGATATGCCCCCTTTTCCCTTGTTTTCTATGCGTATATCTCTGTCTCTGTCTAGGAACCCGGTAACCTGACTGGTCGTAATTCAAAGAACAATAAGGTGACAAAGGATAAATCTACTCTGAGAAGTGCAGTTCCACTTTCTCGTGATCAGAGGCCTGCACTGTCCCAGAGTCTTTCATTTCCGGCAAGAAAAGTCCATGGGGATGGTCTCATGAAGAGCATTGATGGATATCCGGAGAAAGTTGATCTCAAACATGGTCAAGAAAAAGGCACAAAAGTGCAGGCTTCTTCCAATGGATCACTTTCTTCATTGTCTCGTTTGAATCATCCCAACAGGCGTGGATCCATCAATCTGGACTCAAAGCCGGCAAATGCGAATGGTGGTGGAGTTTCTGCCAGGAGGACTACTTTAGCATCTTTGCCTAGCAATAGGCAGGCTTTGGTATGGTTTTGTGATATAATTTCTTCCCTCCTTTTCTCTCAGTGGTGACCTCTCTTCATTTTGTCTTTGTCTGTGCATATCAGCCGGCAAAATCTGTCCCTGGAAATGTGGCTGCTAAGTCCCCTTCATCCTCCGAGTAAGTCATAGTCACCAGATGATCACGCATACATATACTGTTTAACCCCTTCTACTCTGGTTATGTAAATACTGTAATGCATTCATACTTGGGTAAAATTCGTTCAAAACTTGTATGCATAAGAGATCTCTTTGCACCTTCATCCAACATTCCAGCTCTCCACACAAAACAAACCAAAAAAAAGATGGAAATTCAAATAAACTGAAAATAAAAATTAAAAGATATAACATATAAGTTTAACTCTGTTGATTGATTATAGAGTTAACATAGCTTGTGTGATTGCAGATCAGCTGATGCAAAGCCAGTAACAGCTGCAATGCTGAGCAAAGAAGATGATGATGCCCATTCCACTACTTCGTACTGTCATTACTTTTAACTTCATTTGCTATGCAACTCCTTTTATTAATTACTCCGTTTTAATTGATATGTCTCTGATTTTTGGTCCTAATTATTAGCAGTGCCACTTCTCGTAGCACTAGAAGAAGTAGTGGGTCAGGATTCACCTTCAGGTTGGAGGAACGTGCTGAAAAGAGAAAGGAGGTTTGAAATGTGCATCAATTCATTATTTTGTTGATAGCCTTACATTAATGTATGACTAAATGTTTCATGAACTTCTCCACCAGTTCTTTTCGAAGCTAGAAGAGAAGATCCATGCTAAGGAAGTAGAAAGAAATAGCTTGCAGGCAAAATCAAAGGTCTTGCAATGACCTTTTACCATAACTATTACTTGAATGAACATCTTTTTCGTTTTTTTCCTCTATCAAGTAATTGTGTTTTCTAACTTTTCTGCTTCAGCAAAATTCTATCTTGGTGTTTCATTGATTTATAGTTTATTGTATCATGCAGGAGAACCAGGAGGCAGAAATCAAGCTACTAAGGAAGAGCTTGACTTTTAAAGCTACACCAATGCCAAGTTTCTACAAGGAACCTCCTCCAAAAGTTGAACTAAAGAAGGTAGTTCATGGTTTTGTCTTTATTACTATTTCATGCTGGCATGTATGCTCTTTGAAACCACATCACCCTTAAAGTATGCCTATTAGTTTATCATAGTCTTTAATAATTGTTGTGTAGAATGATGCTGATACTTTGATATTCCATACACTAACTATTGAATTGTTATATTCTTGGGCCACTCAAGATTGGAAATTACAACCTAGGCAAATTATAATTTATTTATTTTCTTTTGAAGAATGAAAAAAAAAGGGCTGGTATCATGATAAAATTGCTGTAAGTGAAGAAAATACTTAAATCTTGTTTCTAGGGTAGTTAACTCTGCTTTAAAAGGTACTTCAATTATAGTTAATGCTCTGGCATTATGAGATGACTTTGCTTGATCGGTGGAACTTTTAGGCAGCAGAACACAATTAAGTTTTCCGTCTTCTACTTTCTCTGCTAAACATTCATAAAATGAATCATTTTCTCACTATAACTGAGATCTTTTCTGTTAATGAAGCATCTTAACATGCACAATGTAGTCATGTAATTAGGAATGATATCATCTCTTTTTGCTGTACAGAGGTTTAGGAATGAGTTTCCTTTATTGTCACTATTACTTTTATTAACTAATAGATGACCAGAAATCTAGTACATGTTCATGAGGTGATGTCGACAAGATTATCTGCCAACCTGAGTAGTCTCTTCATTATTATGCAAAATATTACCTTCTCATGGCAATATACACACAGTTTGACTCTTTGAAATGGATATAATTTGTTGTTCTTCCCTCCCTACTTTATTTCGCTTTCTTCCAATCATCTGATATTTTCTGTCATTGTCATAGATACCAACTACGCGTGCTAAATCCCCAAAGCTTGGACGGCACAAGAGCAGCGTATCTGCAACAAACAACCCTTCAGAAGGTGATGGTTCTAGCGTTAGCCCATCTTTGAACCAAGAACAGAATGTTTCAACCAGAAGAACTCAAACCAATGGTAATGAAGATAATGTTTCTTCCAAGAAGGCTGTAAAGAGATCTCAACCTAAGCTTCAATCTAAGGAGATCACTAAAGCTGAAGAAAAGCCCGGAAAGTCAAAACCAAGAACAAGGAGGGTGGAGAACACTGTGCAGGATGGTTGTGTTGGGAAACCTGAAGAAAACCAGAACCATACTGTCAACCTTCCCCAATGCGAGGATGCTGTAGGTGTAGCAGACGAGATGAATCCTGCTAAAAATGGTGGACTAATTTCAAGCTTGGCCAACCCCGAAACTATGCCCCGTCAAGTCACAGTTGGAGGTTGAAGATCATATTCTCTGGCCTTGTGTTTATAGGTTTATTTTTTTGAGTTCCAAGTTTCATGCTGTTGTGAATAGTATTTGTAAGTTGATCACGACATTCTTTTTGGAGGGCTATTATACACATTATAAGTTACATATGCATCTACAGGTTATTGCAATCATGTTTCCTTTATTAAATTCTATTGAAAGTGTTTGGTAGGATTCTCTTTCTTTCGAATTATTAGGCTAAATATGTCTGTCGGCGACCTAAACATTGCTGTATCTTTGCTGGTAGGCGCTGTATGACAAATGACTGACATAATTCTGTCATAGCCTTTGAATTACCATTTTCAATTAACCATTGCATTGGTACCACTAGTTCACATGGCTTAGGAGGACTAATTTCTGATTTACTCACTAGCCTTAGATGGCTCGTGATATTCGGGATCTTCCTTTCTCCATTTTTCCCTTCCAGGACTGCTCATGCACAAGTTGGAGTCTCTAATGGCTTATTATCTTCGAATAGGAGTCTGAGATAGAGATAGTTTGTGCTCTTTTTATGGCAATTCCAGCTCTGAGAAGTAATTACCAGGCCAATCGATAGTGAAACTTTTTCTTTCACTTGCTGTCGAGCTAAATTTGGCTTCATAATTAGGACCTTTAAGCTAAGATAATGGTAGAAATTCCTTTGTGATGTAGACACCTTTGTGAGAAGGCGTACAAATCAAGAGGCATACTTGCCGGGGAATCAAGTATTAGACAAGTTAAAAATTGTTAGGTGCCTTCCAACTACGACTTTGATGTCAATCTATCCCCTGCTGCAAGCTTCATGCTCATTTGTAATCCCACTGCAGACCATTTAACCACACCTACAATCATAAGGTATAAGCAAAGTTCCTCTTGGAAAAAATTGATAAAGCCTTAAGGGAAGAGATCGAATTGGAACTTTGAACACTGACCACCTTCTTAAAAGGAGTTAATAGTGGTGATAAAGTCAGTCTGAACTATATGCTAGCATTTGAGTGTGAAATATGGCCGACAAAAAACAGGTAAAATCCTTGAGTTCCAAATATCTAAAACCAAGTCTTACCCTTCAATAATATAACGAACAGATTGCAATGTTGGCTAGAATTCAATGAGTGCACGTTGTCATGATCCTGACTTCGTGGCAATTTATTACTACTTTTTGTCATGATATAGATATAGAAAAAAAAGAAAAAGAACCATAGCCATCGTCCCCACATAACAAATATATTTAACAAATGTACAAATTGTTAATTCCCCACGTGCTGTGGTCAAAAAATATAATATGTAGATTGCCCTGCATATAAAACCTCCTGCATGGCTTAAAGAAGAAGCTCAAACAGGGGAGGGTGGACTCTGAATAATTCGTATCTGCTTTCAACTGTAAAATGGCTCATAAATATTTTGATTAAAGGCGGCAACCCCACTTATATCTTTTCATTAGTTGTAATCTGATTTATTAGCTGCACCACCTTTTTTTTTTTCCAATTTAATCTAATTTTAATCTTTTGCTTTTGCTTTCCAAAGCGTTTCTTGTGCTCAAGGTATTGGCTGGCTTAGCAGCTCCTATCCCCACCAATCTCTATGTGACAGTGATTCTTTTCAGATCCCTCCTCAATAATTTATGAGCTATAACCATTATGTCAATTACCTATGTTAACTTAGTTTTGAGCTAAGAATAATTCTTCTGTTACTACTTAATTGTGTATTTGCTGATTTAATCTATTATTGTACTAGGCCCTTATTGTTCTGAAGTTAGTATAAAATATAATAATAATAATAAATCTTGATCTTCTTTGCACGTGTTGCATCGTTGAATGGGAAAAATGATGTAAATATATACCAATGACAATAACCTCTGCATTCCGTTTTGAATCGAGGATTTGGATCGAACCATTGTCTCTATCTCAGCCAGGTCGGAGCTCTTCCTAAAACTTTTTTTTTAATTTTTTTTAAAATTTATATTTAATTTGATTTTTATTTTTAATAAATTTAAAAAAAAATCAAGCCAAATAAATACTTAGTATTAAAAAGTCCCTAATAAAGCATGAGATATAGCCTAATAAAGCATGAGATATGAAAGGGTGATTACTTGAAAATTGCCAAAAGTCCAAAGGATTCCCTTGAAACAGTAATTAAATAATTGGTGGTTATTTGGTTGTACCAGTTCATTTTATTGCATACCGACAAAGGAACCCCAACCAATGAGAAGGTAGCAGCTAGCTGTGCCGCCTTAATCACCAAACCAGGCATTAGCAAAGTAAAATCCAGAAGAATAGCAAAAGCTTGAACTTTGGTTCACAAACAGGCAAAAAGGAACAGAACCCTTGATTTGATAGGATGGAAAACACAGCTTTTCAAGGCTGTTCATGCATTATGCATATGATATAAGAGGCAGTGAATCATACACAGAAATAATTAAAAAATGGTATGTAATTACAGTATTTATGACAAAATAACAGCAAACTTTCTCTTCTGTGGGCATTTTGAGGACATCACCAGCACTCCCCCTCCAGTGTATTATGACACAAAACTTACCCTACAACAACGGCAAATGACAAAGCATCTTTACCCCGGAGAAAGTAATTTTCACCTTTGCTTTCGGTTGATGTGCTTGGTTTCCTGTTTTTTCCTTCTTGAGACTATAATTTTATATCATTCATTGACATGAGCGAAATCGCGAATCCTGCCCGAGAGTGCCAAGCATCCAACACCCTACTTCCAACAACTTCCCTGCATAATCAAACATGAAACACAATATTTAAGTCAACTCATGATTAAGCGTCTACATCAAATGGATAATTTATATTCAAGAAACCAAGCATTTGAGTGGCATAGATTGAATAACTCAATAGAAAACTTGATCCCAACCAGAAAACCCCTAAATAAAATTAAGGTCGGCTGATAATGGGTACAAAGTACAATTGCACAACAAATCTTGCCAGCCGATTGCAATAGTGCTCCCAAATGACAAGAGAAATATATATAATACGGCATGGGAATTAAGTATCTTGTTGGCAATAAAGTAGTGGTGGGGTAGACAAATGTGGCAAACAGCTGGGCAGCCCTGGATTATTTTTAGCTCTTTATGTTTAGGCGTTTTTGTAATTTTGGTCACATGGACTCGTCGGTGGCAAGGGCAATGAACTCGAACGTGAGAAATAATTCTGACCAATTAGTTAAAGAACCTTCTTCCACCGCTCCATCTAACCCCTTCCCTGCTTGTTCCAAATGACTTCTATATTGTAGATTAAAGTAGTGCAAAAAACTAAAGATTATCTGGACATTTTACTCTCACCAACAATTCTAGACTTGTCCAGGTTCCCACTTCCCACTTGCCAACCTAAATTCCATTGCCTGGCTCAAAAGTGAAACCGAGCATCTCTGGTCAAAACTTGCTCTAAAGTGAACCACTACAACCCCCTCTCTCCCCATGTGCGGCATTTCCAGGCAAAGAACAATGCCAATACCCCGTATATCACCTATACTCTATCACCCTCCATCAATTAAGTCAATGATCATACCAACAAATCATTCCTTAATATGGCAGCATGTTACTGGCTCATTTCTGTAATGCTAAACAAAGATAGCAACCGGCTTTCCTTTCCACACACCCACAAACCCATCATAAAAAGGACACCGCAATTATAAAGGCGTATTCCATGATTCCCATCTACCCCACCACCAAAAACATCAATCATCAAAAGAACACCATCCAAATTCCAACTTAATACTCACTCCCTGAAGCAATTCCATACCACTAACTGAATCCCTATACTCCAGTTCCCTAACTCCCCATTCTTTTTCATTCTCATTTAAACCCCATTAGTTTCTAATCTAAATACTACAAATTATCTTAAAAATACCCAACCAACCACAAGCTCCAAGTTGCACAATTCAATAATTTATTTCCTAACAATAATACTTAACAGGATAACCTAACCAATTAACCAAAAGTTAAAAGAGTCGGTAATAAAACTACAAACCTCTCCTGGGCTTGCTGGCAACCTTAACAGCAGCTGGTTTCTGGACAGTCTGAGTCTCTTCCTCCGGGAACAAGACCCCATCAATCCCCTGAACTGAAATCCTCCCATCCGTATAGATATCCGGATCGAACAGATACGCAGAACCCTCACCATGGCCGAACTTCACCGAACCATCAGCCTCCTGAGCCACTACCTTATGCGGCAAACGCAGCGTATCATATCTCACTTTCCCAAACCTCCTAACCGCATTGTACATACTCTCCTCGGTCTGATACTCGGGAATAATATGGTAATATATAATCTGTTCCGGCGCCCCTGGCTCGCTTAACTGATCAGTAGTGAGCTTCGCCATGGCTTCATCATTCGGAGCCAAGACCGTAATAACATATCCTTCGGAAACTAATCTCCCCATTTCCGTGGCTAAAGAAGTCAAGTTTACTAGAATATCAGCCATTTCCTTGTACCCACCGTAATGTAACAAAGTTTGGATAAAATCCTTGACCTGGCTCTCACCGTCAAAATGATGATGAGGTCCACCAGGTCCCGGAGCTGGCGCCGGTGCCAGAGAAGGACCTGGAGCCATCGCGTCATAGATTGGGAGTACCGGTGGTGCTCCAACTGGCACCGGCGCTGGCTTCTTCAACCTGTGGGTGCGAGGATCCACTTCCGGTGCACCCTCAGGCAATACGGCGGAGATTGACCGCAGATTACGTCTCTTGTTGAAGTCTTCTATGACGGAGCGGGGAATGAGGAGCTGCTGGATACCGTGAATCACTCCGTCCGGTCGGATCACGTCATCGGGTCGAATCAACTCTGCTGAGTCCACAGTTTTCTTGCCGGTAGATTTGGACGTTAAGTTGAGATGGTCGTTACACAGGGTGTTGTGTTTGACAGGTCCGGCTTTGGGGTCGGGCCATTGGTGGGATCCGACCCGTTTTGGGATAATGTGGAACATGAGAAGGGTTTGAAGGGACTTGAGGTTTCCAGGTTCAAGTAAGAACCGTTTGAATTCCGGGTCGAGTTGACGCTCCAAGGCTTCATTCCGAGGGGCGAAAATGGTAATGTTGTGTTTGCCAACAGCTCCTTCAAGAGTTTGGAGAAGTAAAGCTTTTTCAACCAGTTCAGCTAACTCAGTGTAATGCGAGTCAAGGAGAGCAACAAGGACCGAGTTTGAGTTAATCTGGCCGGAAGCTGATGAAGAAAAGGATTTCCCGGATGGGTTTTGAGGCAATGCAGCAATGGCAAACGAAACAAAGAAGAAGTAGAAGAAAAGGAAGATCTTGGAGGAAGAGACACCATAGATGGAAGAATCCATGGTGCTCAAAGAAAACGGAAAAAGAAACACTTTAGACAAAGCCTAAAGAAAGAAGAAAACCCAAGACGAGATTTTGAAGATGAGGGAACTGGTTTTCTGGGGTTCGGAGGGAGTGAAGTGACGGGATGATTATTGCTTGCGAAGAGTCCGAAAAGTGGGACACGACAAGGGGAAAGGGAAAGGGAAAGGGAAAGGAAAAGGCTTGGGAAAAAATGCAGCAGGAGGAGGAACTAAAAAAGAAAGATGAATGTACACTGATTATTGCAATGAAATGAAGAGGGGTCTGGAATTGGAAGATTTGTGTTGGTGTGAGATTTGGCTGTGAGGTGGTGAGAGAGAACTTTGGGGCCGGGCTTAGAGTTGAGACAGCCTGGAAGAGGGGACCACACGGGGTCGAACCTTTACCGTCACTTGTCAGGACTTTCCTTGCTCGGCTTCTTGGTTGAGACCTGAGACATGAGCCAAGCCCCTTGTTAGAGGCTTAATTTTCTTTTATTTTTTTTGAGGGATTATTATTGGGTTGACTGGATACCTGCCAATGCCATCTTTTTTAAGTGTTTGCAAAGATAAAAAAAGAGTGTTAGAGCTTTGTTGTGGGCTTCTTTTGGAAGCTTTTGTTCGCATTGGATTAACTATATTCTTCCATTTTTTTCATTGTTTTTACTATTTTTATGTTTGTGGCAATGGGTTGGAAGAGCATCCAAAGCCTTGAAAAGAATTTATATCAAATAAAATCATACAACTAAATTCTCATTTTCAACTGTCTCAATATTTAACTACCCATCAAAGAATTCCTTGAAACCTTTTGCAGTAAACTTCTGGTTACATCAGTTTTTTTTTTTGGTTTCAATGACTAGTTAGAAGTGGACATCCATCTGTTAAATGAACAAATAAAAAACTTTAAGGATCCATAAAAAAATGTTAAGGGATGTGGGATTTGCACCTCATCACTTAATATATTTTGATGCTCAAACTTTGCCGTAAAACACTTGAAATCGAAACCTAGAAAAAAGAAAAAAAGAAAGAAATAAATTTAACCATCTAGACAAGCCTCATGAGATGAGGTTTAGGTGAGTTACTCTTTATTCCAATAAAACAGAAATTATATCTCATCTTTACTTTTGGTATCGATTCTTATAATGAAGTCCAAATGGTGATATCTTTGTGCAAAACACATACACAATGTGCTGTAAAAAAAACCAGAATATTTGAACATGCTTGATGACATTGAAATGGGCTTTAATTAACAAAACAAAAGCGATGGGCAAAACAAGGGGCATGTGAAGTGAGAAGGCTCCGGACAGAAGCCGAGGCTAATAAAGCAGTAGACAACTTTTCACATGTTGGCTTCAAGCTAAGGCAAAGGCGAGCTGTCGGTGTCCGGAATAAAGAATAAAAAATATATAGAAAAAATGCCCTTGTTTTCACGCCAAGCGAATAACATAAAACTCGCGCGTGAAACTTGCCATTTGGGCGGGCTACCAAAGTCTTCCCGCTACCGTCAGCGGGGCGACCACTTGCCCACCGTTCGATTGTTTGTCACTGTCACTTCCTCCCTCCAATCCAACACCCCCTTTGTTCATTTCCCTATCCCTTTTAATGAATGCTGCCCCCCCTCCCCTTTAAACGGTTTTTCCAGCTCAACTTTCCATTAGGTAAATTTGGATAAAAGTTGTGCTCATTTTCGTTGGATTGAGTAATATATTAACGAGCTGTTTGATTTTGGTGAAGTTTATTAGGTAATGTAACTACGAGTTCCAGGAGGATGGTAATGTGGAAATCTGATATTATTTAGTAATGTTTAACTTTACACTATATTAAAGTATGAGTCATGCATTGTATACGAGTCAAATATAAGACATTTATATATGCAGACGGTGTAGAGTTTATATCTTTACAACTCATATAAATACTTTCAAATCTTTTTTGAAAATGCTACTTAACCTTTTCTAAATACTTTATGAAGTTAACATGTGGTTAAGTAAAAAAATCATTTGAAAGATTCTTTTTAAGTATGTTATAAATTTTTTTTAAAAAAAAAAATATTTAATTTAATATACAAATTATTCTTATTTTACATTTAATTAAATCATCATATTTTTATTTTAGATTAAATATATTTTTATAATTAATAATTAATTAATTATCATTAATCAAATTATTATTTATTATTTTATATCATATGATGGAGACGTAGCATAATGACATGTTCTAGTGGATGGTGACACAATATGCTTATATTGTATGAGGATATAGTCACATGGTATTTTTTTACCTTTCACTTTTGTGTTCTTTAAGCACCATGTCAATATAAAATAATAAGTGATATTTTGATTAATGATACTTAATCAGCTATTAGTAGAAAGGATCTATTTGGTTCAAAATAAAAATATAAAATTAAATTAAACATAATAAAAAAATAAAAACTTATTTAATTTTTTTTAATAAGTCAAGATTTTTTTTTTAAATATCATGTCAAATAAGTAGTAGTAAAACTTAAATGTATCTATACATTTTAAAGAATATAAAACTATAAATAAATTCATTTAAAATACACATTTTTTGTTTAGTTATCTTAATTCATTATTCACCTATAATATTATCTGGAGTATTATGTTATTTTAGCTTTCATAAAATCTAAATCATTGATTTTAAATCAAATATGGAAAAGCAACCTTAGAATATTTGTGAATGTCATGAATATAAATCCTTTTATATAATCCCTAAAATTACACTATATAATTTGTTTGAACATCTTAATTTCAGAAAATAAAAATCTAAAGATAACCCAGTTTATAAGTATGTTACTTAATGTTAAATTTTTTGCTTAAGCTATATTTATCCCTTTAAGTCGATAGAATAATTTTATAGTGGAAATTTTGATTTCAAGTCTAGATTCATCAGCGTAGGTTTGAGTTGAGATGTTGCTTTCACTTTATTAAATATATAAATATATGGTTGGTTGAAAAGATGCTGAAATTAGAAAATTTTTATGCATTTGATAAAAAGCTTAGACATTTAAAAGAATTAAGACAATGACAAGCTAATGAGAAAGGGTCAAGTTATTGAGATCCTTAATTCTCAAATAATGCCAAAACCAATTAATTTTGGATGCATATATTATCCAATTTTCCGGTCTAGATGCATGCCATAATTCAAAAATTAATGTCATAATTCAAAATCTTAGGAACCCTAAAATTATTATTTTTTAAAAACAAAAAAGAAGAAAATCATAAAATTTAGATACGCACATTTAAAAGATGAGATTCTGATCATCTTTTTTAGTTGATGGTCTCAATAGATTTATTTCTTTTCTTTTTTGTTTTAATTTTTTAATTATTATTCATTAGCAATACGAACAGAGACGGATTGAAGGTGTTCAATTTTATATTATAATTTTTTTTAAATAATTAATTTTATTTTTAATCAAATTATTAATCTCATCTATGATTTTATATAATTATTCTTTAATCATCTTTCAGTTAAAATCTTAAATCTATCACTAAATAGGAACCCTTTTGGATTTCACATCTTTTTAACATTTTAATCAAATTATTCATTGGAATAAATTAAAGAAAACAAAAAGGCAAAATAATTGGAGTTGGAATGTTTTAGATGATAATAATGGCAGATAAGCATTTGACATTATTAGAAAGGTTAGTAAGAATTATTACTAAAGTGGAGTACACAAATCATAAAAAGGCTAAAGGGCCCATATTCTTTGGATTCCACAAATTGAAGATGCCCACAGCCTCATCTTTCTTTGTCCCTTTTTATTGAATTTCCAGCACAAACCAAGAGCAAAATAAATATAAATAAAAATTTGTAAAGGCAGGCTCAAGCTTTTTCTTGGTAAATTCTGAAGGTCAATACTTGGAGATTTACCAATAACAATGAGTTGAAAAAGTTGGGAAACGAAAGGGGCTGCACTATCTTCTTCTTCTTCTCCTTTTTTTTTTTTTTTACTTTTCAGACTTTGGGCTTCGGCCTTCTTTTCTCACTGTTCATTTCTTTCCGTACCTGGTTAAAATATAATTTAGTTTATTTATTTATTTATTTATTAAAAAAATAAATTTTAAATTTTTATAAGAGATCATATACCAATCAATAAGTTAAATGTTTGGATGCATAATTTAGTTTATTTAAATAAAATATATTACTAATTAGGAATAAAAAAAAATGTTTAGTTTGTTAGAATCATATTAAAGAATTTACAAGGAATATATATACATATATAAATATCGATATGCCCTTTGCAAAAAATAAAAAATTTTTATTGTTTCAAAAATATATACAAAATGTATTTATAAAAGACGTAAATATTTAAACAAAAAAATAAATATTTTATTTATTTCATTTCTTCATCTCCTTTTCCCTCTTTTCTTCGTTCTTGTCTTCCTAATAAAATTTTATATAAATTAATATCTTTAATACATAATTAAATTATAACTTAATCTAATTAAAATTTGATATATATATATATATATAAAGTTTGATTTTTTGCACAATAAATGCATAATAAATGTTGAAAATTATATTTTGCGATCTTTATGATGAAAAGAGATAGTTTTGACCTTTAATAGTGATTATTGAAATGTCGTAAATTCGTTCATTCCTTAAAGTGAATGTGGCATCATTTAATAATTATGGTCATAATCATGAATCAAACCATTCCTTGAAGTGAATACAATATCATTTAATTATGATGGCCATAACAATTTACACTATCACTACTTTAATTATTATTTTACCACCAGAAGTAGATGGATATTTTATCATCTGAATTTAAGAATAATTTTACCACTAGAAGTGGATAGATAATTTTATTATAAAAATGGATGGATGCCTATAATTCACCAGAAGTGGACAACCCATCATGTGTGAATCACCAACTAAAAGTGGATGCATACTTGTAACCTACCACAAATAGATGAAGAATTTTAATGCACCAAAAGTAGATGGATACCTTAACCCACTAGCCCACTAGAAGTGGATAACCCATCAAGAAGTAGATGAATACTTATAACCCACCAGAAGTGGATATTGTTATTGATGTGGCATGAAAAATCATTGGTCACGTACCTGTTGTATGTCTTAAATTTTATCATGCATCACTGAAAATTGAAACATCTTGTGATAATTTTAATCATGGCCAAG